TTCGTAAAAACGAAACTCGTCTTATCTGATAAAGTATTTATTATTATATGTCAATTGTTACTACGATCTATACTTCGTCAGACAAATTATATCGTTTCTCTTTACAGATTCGATACGCCGTGTACCGAGTACAAATCACGAACGGCCTGAGTCCAGAAATAAGCTCAATGCTTGTGCGGGAACTTATCAATCAATTAAGCAAAAACGCTTCGGCGGCCTCTAGAAATAATTTCAAGCCTCCGCCGCAATCGCAACCCCCGGCGACGACGTTACCGCCGTCTCGCCCGTCGTCCCCTTCATCGAATTCCGCGGAGTCCGAAGAACCCCTGTACATCATCACGCCCACATATCGAAGACCCGAGCAGATTCCCGAACTCACGAGGATGGCCCATACGTTGATGTTGGTGAGAAATATACACTGGCTCGTCATCGAAGACGCTACCGTCGCCACCAAACAAGTGACCGAATTATTGGAAAGAACGAGCTTGAAGTTCGATCATTTAATCGGTAAATCAATGTCCGAGATACGAATCTGTATCGCAAAATCACAGATACCTATCTGTACGATATGAATGATTTGTATTACATTTGCGCAGCTCCAATGCCGGAGAAATACAAACTCAAGAAGGGCGCCAAGCCGCGAGGGGTATCGAACAGAAATCGCGGTTTACAGTGGATCAGGGCGAACGCCACGAGAGGTGTGTTCTACTTCGCCGACGACGACAATACTTACGATATTGAACTTTTCGACGAGGTATGACCAGTTACGAAAGCGTGTTTTAATTTTGCTAAAGACCTGAAAATCTTTTTCTAAAGGATTCATCTTTTAACATGCCTTTTAGATTCGCAAGACGAAGACGGTGTCGATGTTCCCAGTGGGGCTGTGCACCAAGTTCGGGCTGAGTTCGCCGATCCTGAAAAACGGCAAGTTCGCCGGGTTCTACGATGGCTGGGTAGCCGGTCGGAAGTTCCCGGTGGACATGGCCGGGTTCGCCGTAAGCGTCAAATTCCTGCACCAGCGGCCGAACGCTACCATGCCATTTCGCGCGGGATACGAGGAGGACGGCTTCCTGAAGAGCCTGGCTCCGTTCGAGCCGCGGGACGCTCAATTGCTGGCGGACAATTGCACCAAGGTGCTCGCCTGGCACACGCAGACGAAGAAAAACGAGCCGAGCGCGCCGCTGGACATGAAACTTTACGGCGCGACGAACCTGGTGAAGCTTAAGCAGCAGATAGTATGATGTCAGTCGGGACAACGAAGATGCGCGAACTCGAACCTGAATCTTGTGTGTAATCCCGCCCCTCCTTCGCACTAGTTCATCGGTGTCACTCCAGGGGAGTTCCTAGGTGCGGAAGACTGTGCGATTCAGTGCCTAAAAGTATATCTATCCTCTCTCTCTCACGGCGAGAGAGGGGAAAAACCGTTATTACCTTTAAGCATAGCCGGTAAAACGATTCGTTTTTTTATCACCTTTTACACATCCGCAACAATGTAGCTCGCCCCAAAGACAGTCCTTGCCCCGAGGAAGGATATCGCGGTGAAGGAAAAAAGTTAAGTAGGATTCCCGGGGCAACGCTATGACCACAGCGACTCGATAAGGTGCATAGAAATTCACGCTTAGAGTTCGAAACCGTCTATTATCCTTACTTTTTAGCATTTCCGCTTTCGTGCGTGCCGCATGAAGCGATGTGAACGCGAAGAGAAAGGTGAAATCCCTTATTAATAATGTTAATCGATAAATACAGCGGGATAGTGGAGTTTATTAGCCGAAAATCATGCGGTTTCGAAGTATCTTTAACGCGTATAAATAGCGAAATCGCGCACCCTGCAGATCAACGACCAAAGAAAGCAAACGAGTCACTCGCTGTAACGTTAAACTCTTAAACTTTCTTTATTCTACCTGAGGGATATATCCCGAGTTCTATAAATAGATTCTTTATTCTGTTCCATTCTACTAAATAGCGAAGTCCATTCCTAAACTTGCTCTAGTACGACACGAGGTCAAAGATTATTCGATCGAACGATGAAAATGTCTCTAGGCGATTTTAGGGGAACCTGCTCGTTGCTCGTTAATCTAATTACCAAGTATAATGTTTAACGTCGTCGTTTAACAAATTTTGTCCCGCCTCTTCGTGCGATTAGCAAGCATAGACGATTACGAGATAAAAAGTTAGAGCAAGTATCCCTTAATAACAATTCCTCGTAACTTCGAAAGAAAATAAATGTTTAAAAGTCAAAGCACGAAAATCGAAGTTTAATCTTAAGCTTTGTCAACAATTACGTTAAAGAAGTTATCATTTACGCGAGTATTTCTAGTTAAAATATGAAAATTTCTTCGATAGATATTATCGATCAAAAAATATCAAGTTGAAGTGCACGAGATATCTTTGACTTACACTTATTTAGCTTTCAGCATAAATCGGCATAAATCAGCATTTATAAAATGCCGAACGTGCAGCATGCGCGTAGTTATCATAATTTAGTCCGAATAAATTTTTCCGATTTTGAAGAGAATCTGAAAAATTGATTTTACGACTGAATATCGAACAATGTCCTGTATTTGACTGAATAGAGATAATTTTAATTCTCGAGTTGCGCTCGTCGCTGCTCTTTTATTTCCGTTAATAATATAATCCATTTATTTCATTGTAATGCCGTGATCATAAACAAAACAGCGAATTATAATCAAATAAACGAGCGTTTCCGTTACCAATGTACTTGCGTGCGTGTGCGTAGAAAATATGTACTTCCTAGAAAGGCATATAATATTTAAAGCTACGTTTGATTCCTCTTGCACAATACATTTCGCGTGAGTTAGGTAGTATTAAAAAAAAAGAGCTAGGAAATAAGAGAGGTGTGCACTGAATGCGAAATCTAAAGAATCGATTGCCGTTTCGATTGTCTGCCGACGACATCGTCAGAATGGTCGTCGAAGTATCGAATCACGATTGTACAGTGGAACCTCGACAATTCCGAATGTTTCCATTAATATAACATATCGCTATAAAAATTCGACCAACATTAGATCAAATATACAACTTTATCTAATTTCCTATATAACTTTACTTATACAAATATTTCCCGTATATTATTACAATTTATTTAAATGGAAAAGAACGGTTGTTTTCTCCAACGTTGTTCAGTCATTAGACAACTTATATATTTAAAAAAATTAGTTATATAAAATTAGTTACATAAAAGTTATATAAAAATTAGTTATATAAAAAAGCAATTAATCGTGGATCATAATACTAATTATCCGTCAGCTTAATTAGTTCGGGCATTAGGAGTTCTGCTGTACGAACGCTCGGAAGACTGCGGAAAACCAACAAGAAAAGTTTCTTTCTTGTCAAATTTCATATCCTTGTAGCGTTACATGTATATATATATAATATCTAGTATTCTCGACCGTACGTCTTTAAAATCGATATCGGAAAATTTCGTGTCATTAGTTAGACCAGGGTGCTAATTTTAAATATTTTCCTAAGGGTTCCCAATAATTTCTTACGGCACTTCAATTTCCGAAAGTGCTCTATACTTCATCTACTTTTATCTAGTGTGTGATGCTTTATAGCGATAGACGTAATTCCAGCGTGTGGATGATAATAATTTATCACATGTCCTATAAGATATATATATATTGTCATTATGACACCAAAAAGTCGAGAAACTATAGCATGTATAAATAATATATCCATAGGATAATCGCACTATTTAGAAATTAATCAAATGTCGAAAGCGGGATGGCATTAGATTTTTCCCACTCACATATCCTGCCGGAATATGCGGAGGTTTGTGTACAGAAAATACGCTATTTACGTTTCAGATTGATTTATACGGATACGGTCCGCAATAAACTTACGACAAGCAATATGTGTGATTCTCACGCAGTTAGATTGTAGAAAGAGAGAGAGAGAGAGAGAAAAAAAAAGCGAGAAAGAGAGAAAGAGAGAAGCGAGAAAGAGAGAAAGAGAGGGAGAGAAATAGATAGGTGAATGATTATCTTTGTTTTATCAAAATACGTAGGGAAAAAGTAAGACGTTTTAGTTATAATTTTGAGAAATCCTAGAGAGTGTACTTAGCGCGTTGATTCGAGATCGTTTGTGATATATAATTATATTGTTTTATAGTAAGTATATCGGTTCTACGTGATACAGGCGGATAAAGACGCCTCCATCGCGGGTAATGCTCAAATTTCCGGCAATCCAGAGGCTGAGTGTATATGCGAGAGCCGGAAGTTGTACATACAAGTCTTTGTTTCTAAACGAAATAATCAATCTTTTGTTATATGTATATTCATATCACACCCAGGTCTGAAAGAATTGGAGAGGATGGGAGCACTTTTTCATAGATTGAGAATTACAGTACACATATATTTCCCTCGCTATTTTCTACCGTTATAATACGAAGTATTTAATTCGTTTTTTCAATTTAGTATATTTGCAAATTTGGAGTACAGGATCAAAATTGCGTATAATACTATGTTTTTTTTTATTTTAACGGAATTTACGTTTTATTGATTTATTTTTACTTTTATTTTGGTATCAGGCCTTTTCTCAAGCTCTTTGCTATATAAATAAGAAAAGAACTTTAGAATAAGCGAAGAAGGTTCGCAAATTGCATCTCGGTACCTTTTACTATACCGTTACGCGCAACATTTATATTCGATAAGGAGACGTTAATGTAACGACAAGATAACGATACGACGGAGCGTAATAAAAATTAGGAAGTATAAAAAGTTCTCGGTCGTCGATCGAACACGTTTAATATAATATATTGTGCGCTGACGATAATATACGTGCCGTGAAATTACAAATTGACAAGCTGTTGCTGTACAAAAACATCTTAGCAGTTTTGCCACAAGTTTCAGTTATGAACAATAAACTATTGTTCGAAGTAATTATCTCTCTTAATAATCCTTCCCTTTAAGTCTTTTAATCTTTCTAAATTGACGATTACCGCGCATAGAGAAAGAAACGCGGAGGAAAGCGTCGAATACTTTACGTCGAAATAGAGTTCTTTTATTATTTCGTATATTTGCACTCGTGGCGAATGTCACCAAGAAATTCGCTGGGCATAGGGCTGATCCTGCCAGTAGAACACCTTGCTGGCGAAAATATAAAACTGCAAGCAATTGATCGCAAAGGTCGTGAGCGATTCGCAACAGATCTGCCACCTTTCTGGCCTTTTCACGTTTAAACGGTAAAATATGTACGGCAGAATGAAGTAACGCGGTTCCACCAGTAACTGAGGTATCAGCACCATGCACACGCAAATAGCATAATTAATTTTCGTGAGAAATCTCAGATGAGCGACGTTCCGCGACATGGCGAACAGGCTCGCGACGTAAATTGGTATCAGTAAATACCTGAACGCCGCGTGTCGGCCCATGAATCGGTTCCACACGTAGAACCAGTAATGCCGATTATCAGCCAAGACGTACGGATGAACGAGCGTGTTGAAGCGCACCGTCGCGGCCGTCAGCGCGACGGCGCAGCTCGCGAGAATCCAGCGCCGACGAAGGAATCGCGAACACGTTCGCCAATGAGGCACCACGTACGGCCACGAGAACAGAGATACGAAGGCGGAGAAGTAGAGTATCTGGCAGATATGGATCGTTGCGACATGGGCGGTACGATCGCCGATCACTATGCTTCCGTTCCACGCAACGAAAGCAACGAACATGAGACATACCGTTATGTGGGGAAGCAGACTAGCGCATATCTGCGCGACGAGCTTGACGAGGGACAGTGGACCTATGCGTAATTCGTACATTATCTGCCTCCAAATTAACTAAAAAATGATTCAAGAAGTTTTGCTAAATTAATTCTCGGCTAAAAAAGCATTCTCTCTCTTCGTAGCTCGTAATATCTATTTCGTAACGTTACTTACGCGAAAGTGTAACGGAGTACTGAGCACTCCGGGCGGGACAGGTTGCTCCATCCTGCGATCAAATATATCTAATGCGCGTTCAATGGTAAAGAAACCGAGCCAAATGATATTCGTCTGACGAACGAGCACGCCTAGCAAACCTGTGTGATTTATTACTTTTATTTGCATCATATTTCCCTTTCGGATGACTTACACAGCTGCGATAATTACCTGCAAAGGCCGTCATCTTCGTGTGCTCACGTTGGTGCAGATATAACATTAAGAGCACCACGTTCACGGACACAACGTCCGTGTAATAAAAGAAGCACCAAAAATACAACGGCGGGAAAAGGGCGAGATTGTATGCCGACGCGAGTATCAGCCACGTGTTCCATCGGTCCGTTTTGTTGGGCTTACAATTTTCCTTTATAACGTTATAAAGGAGATAGAGATTTATGCACGTCCCAAGTAAATTTATACATCTTATATACGTGGTATTGCAAAGATTGAAAGGCGATAATATCGCGGTAGCGATAAGATATAAGCCTGGCAAAGTAGTGATTTTAGGATCCCACTGAAAATAATTTGCCACTTATTTCTCGCATGAAAATTAGGTGCGACGCACTCATACAAATTATTCTCGTGATTATTTACCTGCGTGAAGTTCCACGCGCAATATCGCAACGTCTGAGGTATGTGGAAGGCCTCGTCGATAAAATAATCCGGTTGGATGCGATTTAAATACAGGAAAAGCAACACGGTGCTCGTGAAAAATATAATCAACGTGGAACGTACGAACATCTCATAGTTCGGTCTCGCGTAACCGAGCCGAGAGGCGACGCTCATGGTTGTTTCGCAAACGTGCCGGAATACTCTCGCGAAACTCGTTAAACTTGAATAAAAATGCCACGTATAAAATTAACGCCACGTCGAAGGCATCTTCGGTTAACCTAAACGCACTTTGATTAACCTAACCTACGTACGTCGCGTTCCCAAATTTCCAATTGAATTGCGTGGGAATGTATCACTGTTACATCGTTACATTTAACAGTGGGACGATTAACGTCGCGATAAAACATGTCACAGCCAAAGTTAAATACTATTTTTGGATCGCCGGCATCAGGCGTTGCGATCCGCACAACGTGCGCTCGTGTTTACAAATCGAGGTTAGGTCGGTAGTTCGTCGCCCGATAAGTTGGCACACTTGGCCAAAGTGACTAGTGAGCCGCCCTGCGAGCACCACGCGCGGCGCGTACGCGCAGTAAACTTCAAATCGTTCCTATCCCAAGTCCTAAACACTCCTAACCACTTTCGCGCCGCGCGGCACGACGATAATTCGACCGAGCGCGATCGAAACAAAGCGCGGATATCTAATCGTGGCAGGTGAATAAACGATAAATGCGAACATGAAAGAATCGACTCACCCTTCGCTGCCCACGTCGTCGTCGTCGCTGGCTGCTCCGTCGGCCGCGACCCTCGCCACCGATCCAAGATCCTCGCACATCACAATCCACACTTGACGCGAGCGCGCGACACCTGATTTAATTCGGCACTCCCGCGACAATCACTCGCTCGTTCGAAACCCGTACGAAATACGGCGGAAGAAAGGCGAGTGAGCGCGGCGCAATTTTACACTGTCCCAAATTCCGACTAACCGACCGACTGCCTGCGACGCGACGACTGCCGACCGACGCCGGCGCCGGATGTGGCGGCGCGAGACAATCATGGCGGCCACGCAAGCGCGCGCGCGTTCAGCCGTTCAAACGAAGATTGGGCGAAACTAGAGGGCCTCTAAGCGAAACGGACGACACGATCGCGATCGAATATGCGTTCGACACGGCGCTTGAACGCTGCTCCACGCTTTAATTAACGTGCCACAACACTCGCACGATCGTTCTTTAATATTTTAAGACACTCATCCGCACGCGGTATTCGATTTTGACGGTTAAAAGCTGCGAGAAACGCGGAGCGGCTACACTTGGTCCGATACGGCAGCGGCATTTCGGAGCATCGATGTTGGAACGCGTCCATCACGTGTACTTGAATTAGTCATCGGTCGTTGTCACATATCTCGATTAACGCGTTATGATATTCGCGATCGTTCTGCGGCAATCCCGACACGCACAGCGAGCTTGCCGCTTGCTTCTATCGGTGGAGAAGATGCGAATAAACGCGGCACAACTTCTCGCTTCCCGAACGACCGACCGACCGACTGGCGACGTCACGGTATGTATATGTAGTACTTGCGCGAGTCGAGCCCCCGAATCCGGCCAATCACGTTCGACCGCTCCGAGCCGCCGCGGCGCGCCGGGCCGGCGCGACCCAGATACAGTTGTACTAAGCGCGACCGTTTTGAAAGTAGCGTACGTTCAAAGTCACCGCGCGATTGATTATTTTTGCAGGTGAGTGGCCTTGCCATTTGTTTCCGTCAACGCTCCAAGTATCTTCATCTGCGAAAATCACTTGGCTATCGTTCTCCCGATGAATTTCGCACAGGTAGGAAGTGTTTGTGCTCCGCGCGCCCGTCACCCTGCTCCGTGCTGTGTGTGTTATTCGGAACGCGCTTAATTTCCGCGATTGGCACTCCTGCACTCCTGCTCCTCGTTCCGCGGGCCACGGGAATAGTCGCCAGATACCCGGGTACGTGCCATATGCGTTCAATAATTTGCGAGTGTATTGAATGTTTGTCGGAATAAACGTATCGCCGCGAATCACTCGCTCGAGAAGGAGATGTCGAGGTGGAGACGTCGAGGTGAAGTCGGCGAAGATATATATGTATATAGGGCACGTAGCGAAAAATATTATAGGAGATACCCCCTCCCCCACCCCCTAATTCGACCCAAGCTATCGATCAAGCCTATTTAGAATTTGATCCGTTCACTCGTTATCGAGATCTCAACATCTCGAGTACTCGCAAATCGTCGCGTCGCGTAAAAGAGTCACGGTCGGTCTCGCTCCGCGTGTATACTTGGCACGGAGACACTACCGTGTCTCCTTGATACGATAGTTGCGAACGATTTAGTTTTCGTCGTGATATTCGCGGGCGATAATCGTGGCGCGTTCGTCTCGCCATAATTCTGGACTCGAATGTAGCGAAGAACTTTTTCAAAGCCCACATTTGAAGAATATTGCATACTTGACGGAATATTCTTCTCATGGACTTTTTAAACGGAAGTGTCGTTCAGTATCGCGCGAAAGACTTTTATTGATAATCCGCGCGCGACATAGTTTATTATCCGTGAGTTTCTCGAGTGTCTTGTGCGGTGGAAGGAGGAGAAGCAGGAGGAGGCTTGACGTCCTGAGAGAAGGAGGAGGTCCGAAGGAGACATCGGCGGGCACCGGCGGAGCAACCTTGGGGTAAGTATCATCTCTTATCTGCATAAAATTAATCGTTTTTTCCATTTATTCGTACCGTTTTATTTCGATAAGCTATAAAAATTCAATAAAAATAATTAGAGAAAGAGAAATTATTCAAAATTTTATAAAAATGCATATTTTTAAATATTTTTTTCCGGAAAATAGGTAATTATATCAGTAAATCTATAATTGAATGACGAATTAGATTTAATCGCGATAATAGCGCGTAAGAATTATGTATGGCTTTTGAAACAATGATCATTTTCAGCGCCTCTTTAATTTAAATCTTTTGTTTTTTGTTACAGTATCATCGTAGCTACGTGGCCGACGTACTCCGCCCGTTGCGCATCGGATCGGTGAGTGACGAATTTTTTATAATGGTATGCGGTAACAAATTTGTGAGACCATGAATATTAGATATATTTATGTATTGTATCTATAGTACTATAGACACAGAAAGGAAAACGATTTGTTGTTACACTTTATGCTGTCGTAATAAATTTCTTCAATCGTCAGGTGAAAACAGAAAAGGCTAATTAAAAAACTTAATTCACTCAGAATAATTTTTCTGTAAATTATATTGCTAACAAAACAAACAACACAATAATATACTTATTATTCTACCAAAAATAGATTATCATGCAACATAATCATTTCCTTCCATATAAAATAGTTTAAATACCACCAAATAAGATTATGCTTACAATCAAAATATTTTTATACTTATTTTTACAATTATTTTTTCGCCTGTCGATTCTAAACATTCCACAGGCATGTTTGGAGTATGTTACAAGCATTATTTCTGTTCCTATCAATACCTCCTGTAAGACAGCTCCGAAAAATGCAATAATATTAAGTAAGTGCAATAATATAGCTCTCTCGACCGATGAAGAACTTGTAAAAGTTTTTGCATAACGCGATGAAATTCAGACTCGTTTGCGAGTAAGAAAATAGAGTGAAATCGTCAGTAACAAAAGTAGTACTTATGTTGCACACATGAAATACTAAAGACATAAAAAAAGAAATTTTTTAAAACATAGCTTCTTATTCTTCTAATTGTATAATAGGTAATATTGTTATACATTTCTTTTTCGTGCATTAACCAATTCATACCGTTAATTAATGCGAGCTAATGATCGTACTGTTACCAATCCAGTTACCAATTAAATTTATTTTTGTGCTCTTAATATAATATAATTAGAAACAAAAATTCTTACATATTGTGACACTTACACTTTTATTCTCTCTCTCTATCCTCCTTTTAACATTTCTAATTACATGACGTCTCTCAATATATTAACTTAAGTAATAAAGTGATTAACGCGACTTTTATAACAATTATAAACTATAGATTTCGAGTTATTACGAGTAAATTATTAAATATTAATAAACGTTAATTGTCTTACACATAATTATAGCCGTAAGACGTTTCGCGATGTTCCCATATTTTGTTATAATAGCGATCTCGTTCTCATTTTTTAACGTACGTGTTACAGGTATGTTGAAGTTGTTCCAACAATCGGTTCACCTATAGTGCCAACCGTACTTTTTGATATTTTTCTCATTGTAAATTTTCGAAATAATTACATGTTAAAAAAGATATTTATTTTAACAAGTACAGTTTAACTTTAACGTACAGTTTAACTATGTTAACTCTGATCCAGCCAAGCGCTTTCAAGTGATATATATTATGACAACTTAATACTTCATCATAATATTCAACTTCAGGCGTACATAGAATATTCTTCTATACCAATATTTATTATCAATTTTATGTTACTTCGAAAACGCCAGGCATAAAACTCATACCTCATAATACTCATTATTATCGTGATTAAATTCTTTTTAAGGCTAAACAAATTTAGCCTTAAATCAATATAAATCGAACGACGCGTTGATGCTGTATGGACAAAGATGAAGTTAACAGCGAACATAACATTAAATTATTTTTATCATATTTAAAAATATAGAGCGTGAACGGATACTTATTACAGATATTTACCAGAGCCACGATTAAAAAAATAAACGTATGTACATGGAATACAACTAATCAAGATACCAAAAAATAACGATAACTGAAGCTGAACAAATTTTGATCGTTCATAAGGCCATAAGCCAATCGAGAGCAGAAGAATACGATTGAAGCTAAAATGCCGGTTGATGCAGATCATCACTTAGCGAGAAACGACACGCGTCTGAATATGTACGTCGATTATTGACCTGAAAACTATAAATTTGTGAGTCGACTATCCAAACAGTGTAATGGATGGAAGTGCGGACACTTACAATTATTAAGACATACGGTATATATTATTTCGTGTAAGTTTTGTGTTTTACTCGTTTTAATGTGAAAATGTTTCAAGTTTTTTTTATTAAAATTAACATTACGTAAAAATGAAAAATATTTTATAATTGTTAAGCATAATCCAGTCAATATATAAATCCAAATACTTCTCTATATACCTAGGTATACTTACGTTACAGAAACAGCGCGCGTTATGATTTCAAAAGTAAGAAACATTATATATTCTGGATAATTTTATCCAAAAGAGTTGTAAGTGTAGTACATAATACAATAAATTTACTTTTAAACCTATTTTCTATACGAAAATAACAAGTTGTTGGATATAATCGCATCACTCTTGCGTGGAATACACAAAGGTGAAATAGGATACCGATGCCTTCGTTAGCTAGAATGATATATCTCTTATATGTCGTAAATCACAAATAAATATTCACAAAATATTATACGTAATATACAACATAAATTTTTACCGTAGCAAAACATTCTAAAGACATTATAAGTATTCCGCCTAGAT